CTTGTAACGTTACAAGGAAAAGGAACGTCCACTGGGATTTCCCTTTGAACTTTTTCCAGACTCATTCCCGAAAACGATCTTCGTCCCTCACTTGTGCCAATTCCGTCACCTTGAAAATAACTGTTGCTTACCTCGACACGACTGTTTCTTTTCTCATGTTTTAAAGGAAAGTTTTTGCACATGACGCATGAGGCCAAATGCATCGAGTCGAAAATAGAAAATAATATATTCACTACAATAAGAATCTACACTCGTTAACACTAATGGAAGACATACCAAAATTTTGGAAAATCCAGTTACGAAATTGACGATAGATCTGTAGATTAAATGCCGAATCTAGGGCTGTTTTCTGAGACATGGTGAACACGCACAAATTGAAAAAAATCCACATACACAGTTTCTTCATGTTCGTTTCACTGGATGAACTTCAACCCGAGATTTTCCGTATCACTCGTGGAAGAACAGGGACCAGGATGATATGATCCTCTGTTACCCTCGAGAGATTACCGCGATCTGACTTGGGAGCACCTGACAGACAATACAAAAACCTCAGCGCAAGTTGGCTGCTGTAAACGACCTTGATCGTACGCTGTTGGCTCTGACGATGGGATTCAATGGTCGCTGCCAGGGTCAATGGTACTTAAATTTCGATATAATCTGGAAAGACTGAAACTAACTTCTGGAAAGAGAATCATCAACCTTCTTTCGACCACCTCTTGTCGACAAATAGACTGTGAATTTTATGTATCTGAAGAAAAGGAAAATGTACATTATGATATTCTCCAACTATCATATCAATTTTTCTTATAACATTTATAGTCGGCAGCGTTCGACGGCTTGATGAAACGCATCGCAGGCTGTTCCGGCTAAAAATTACAACGCGAAACATTTGTAATTGCAACGTTAACGAATGATTTCATGATGCCTGCTTGGTCGAGTCGCATCTTTTTATTCTGTATGTGACCGACCAGGTAGAAGAACGTGACAAAGAGGTTGACGTTCTGCGAACGGTACCACGCGCCACCAGGAAGTTCATGATGTGCATATGAATCGCAGTCGCATCTGGTGGATACCCAAATGAGATCTTAGATCTTCTAAGACCCTTGTTCTTTAGATTCAACAGTATTCTCAATGTACAACATCGTTTCTTGTAATGAATAGAAGGGTGTTCTTTAGATAATTGATATCTTCATCCCTTACTGACATCCGAGGTTTATTACCTTTACAAGGTTTGTATTATATAAGAGAGAAGATATTTTCTGTGATAGTATTGTTAATTTCAAATGCTAATTACTGTACTTGAAACTTGTTCATTTCATCATTTGTCGCCTCAGTTTGGAAGATTGAACAGATTGGAATATAGCAAAAGACGATGCAAAAACATGCAACGTGTGAGAAGTATGTTTCTTTTATTAAAAAAATAAAAGCAAAAGTAGGGAACGTTTGTCTAAGCGATTAGCGCGAGGAATTCAGGGATCATTCAACTCGAAAGTTTTCAGTGGTACCTCGTTCAATGGATCTCGTTATTTGTGAAGATTGAGGAAAACGACGTAGCGGTTTTGCTTAAGTGTTTAAAATTGGAATGGCATGCACGAATCGTATATGCGTAATTCTACGGATTATCGATGCTGAAGACAAACGGAAATATTCTTGAATAATTACGTGCGCGGTATACATGTTTCGGTGTACAAAGAAAAATACGTCACTGTCAACTCTGATGAAGAGAAAAATTATCTAATAAATGTTCCTTCCTTCTTTGTACTCGATAATTGTATCGATATTATTATAAATCATATTTTTTTCGTTTATTAATAATATTTCAAGTATTTCGATTAAAATAAAACGAGAGTTCAGGGACCGCTACGCGCTAAGTGAGAGTTGATACATTCAGTAGTGGACAGAATTGTAAGAGTGTCAGGGAAGGGTTGTTTTGGAACAGTTTTCATTTCACTTAATTTGCATTTATTGAGACTGGTACATCATTTTCTATTTAAACATAATTAAATACATTGGCGATGATTATTGTACGATCGCGTGACGATTTTTAACCCTTTTAAATTCTTACAGTAGGGGCACGCGGTAGGGGAAGCGCGTAAAATCACTCATCACTTGTCAGATTAAAAATTCATGTATTTTCGCTATTGTCTTCTCACTTGAATTTATTCAAGTTCTCTCGTTGTCACGCGTAGTCTAACAAATCTACGATTAAGAACTGATGTACAGTAATGTCGTTTTTATACCACTTCGCATCCTATCTCGTACGCTCGCCGTTCATTCAGTTATTCGACAGTTGATTTTTATTTTCCTGATACATAATCATAATGAACGAGGAAACTGTGTTCCAAGAATTGTCAGAGATACTCGCTGATCCTCCCGAAACGAGAGAGAAGTGTTCACAATGCAAGTACGTCTCATTTGGTTAGGTTTCATTCAACGAATTCACGCGTGAAAATATCTTGCTCGCGATTTAAGATAAGAATAAGTAAACGTCGATCCGTTTAATAGTATTTAAAATGTCTTGACGCAGAAGACCAGTGCCAGTGTGTTGGTGTCCGGGATTACCGAAGCACCCTATAAATCCTGCGTCGAGGATAATAATTTTGCAACACCCGGCTGAAGTGAAACGTTGCCTCCGAACCGCGCCTATGCTCGCTTTAGGTTTAGGAAGTGAGAAATGTATAATTTACAGGTAGTCAATATTTAGTAAAGTCAATTTTATCGTCGAGGACCAACGTTCACGTTTTACATTTTAGAGGAAAGAAATTTCCGCTCCCGAAACACGAGGGCTTAATAGAAATTTTAAATGATAAGAATACTATTTTGTTATATCCATCTCCAAATGCTGTGACACTTGACGAATTGACTCCTGTCGGAGACAACGGTCAGAAAGCATACAATCTTATATTGCTAGATGGAACTTGGCCACAAGCGAAGGTAAATACTCCGATAACTTTAGCACAGTGAGAAATATATGAACAGAGTTCCTCTTGTCAGGCGATATATCATTCAAGTCCAGCACTGTGGAATTTGCAAGCATGTAAATTAGTTGGTATTCCGACCAGTGAGTACGTTATCAGAACTCAGCCAACGGAAGGCTGTTTGTCTACTCTCGAAACAGGAGCTTTCGCGCTTTCTATATTAGAAGGTGAACCAGAGTTGAAGGATAAAATGCTTGGTCCTTTGCACTTTCTCTGCAGGTAGATTTCAGAGAACACTGTGGTATCTCGTAGGGATAATAATTGAGCAAATTTCAGATTTCAGTTAGAGAACGGTGCCGTGACTCACCAAAGTAAAGAGTTTGTGATCAAACAGAAAACTTATCCGAAACTTATAGGCCGGCGATTAGCTAGACAGTTACGTATACTGCCAGAGGAATCGGCGTAACGTCTTTTGCTGTAGCATGTAAAGCAATAAATCGAACTGTTTATGCTGTAGCATGTAAAGCAATAAATCGAACGACGGTATTTTGTAACAAATGATTTTTATAAATACGTTTAGGAGAACGCAGGGACATCAAAAAGAAAAGTAGTATTTTTAACTTAGAATTACATTTCTATGAACGTTCGCGTTACTTCACGTTTTCGGATAGTACACGAAAATCGAATTTGATATTTCCGTGTTGTGGTACAAAACTGAACGACCATGAAATAATACTTTCTTCTGTAACATCTGTTATGTCTCTGAATAAAATTACACCTTGTCTCGTAAATGGGTCCCACGATATTCGTTCACCAGGCTTCACTTCCGCAGTCGGTCCCGATGAAACTGATATTTCTGAATCTAATTGCCAGTCAATCCACAGAGCCACGCCATTGCACATGCCGCTTCTAAATTGGCAAACAGTTTGCGGAGTATGAATAGAATCGACGATACAGAATTAATGTGAACTTTGTTAAAATCTTACGATAAAATAGGTACAGTTTCCGAGATACTTATAGTTTCTTGTTCGGTCACGTTTTGCGTTAAATCGAATTTCTTAAGCACGAAGGGCACACTCAGCGCTTTGGAAGGATATTCCCATAGTGGCTGAGCTTCTACGGGACTATCGCTTTTATCGCTTGACACCTATAACAAATGAATACATTTTCATATTTCTTTGTCACTATTTTCCACTTCCTATTGACTTACCTGTATCAGTCTGTCGAAAATGGATAAATCAAAGCCTTCGCAGATCCCAAGCGGTGCTCGTATTTTATGTAGATTTTTGAATTCGACTATGACGCCTACTATCGTTGCTGCAATCGGCATCCTTTGTACCAGCGGCGAATACTTTGAAGCCAGGTACCAGAAATACAGATTCTCCCACGGTAAAATTGAAGTAATAAAATGTGGTTCGCCGAGAATTAAATTAATCGAATCCTCCGGAGGTAAATTATCAGTGGAGTCAATAATCTCTACACTTTCCGTAAGTCCATTTGTATGAACAAACGATTCGATGCATTTTCTAGATAAAAAATTTGTCTCTAAGATAAAAATTTTTTTCGCTCCTAATTTAATAGCCGCGAGGCCCACCAAACAACCGTCAGAAAGGCATAAACACACTTTGCCTGTGACTTTCTTTTCCAAAGCTCTAATGTATCTCTCGTTCCGTGCATGATCGTTCAATTGCCCTATGCGTGTTCTGCAGTAAGCTACGTGAACATTGCAATGGCAGATAGGTCTTTCACAGTCTGGTATTTCGTTTCTGTAAACAAACATGGCGTTAAACGCTTATAAAAGAGAAATGCATCAACTGTTTATTAATCAGCTTACATAGTTTCATTTATCAGCTGAAACCACAACGAATATTCATCGTGATATCCGATCAAACTGACTTCATTGTTAGTAGTGACCGGAGTTTCAATGGGCAAATAGTAGATAGCTTGCATCCAGTGATCCCTCCAGGGTATCATATCTGCTATCGCCTCCAGGCTCAGGCCTTTATCTTGCAATGCTTTCGTGTCAGGATGTTCCCATACCGGTGCGCAACTCAGCAGAACCTATTTCGACACTGGTTAATCTTTAATCCACAATTTTCCTACAAGCAATAATTACCTGATTATCTATATCCATGATTAAATCCCACCACATAAAAATAGCATGTGCAGTACCATTTGCAATTGGTCTCACGTGCAAACATTTCTTTTCGTCGTACAACAAAGGCGATTTACCAGTTAAATCGAACCTGAAATATATCGTCGTGTCTGTGATGTTATTTATTTTTTAAGCCTAGCAATTTGTGTTTACCTAAATATTGGTTGAGGAGGTAATAAAGGCTTAAATGCGTCATGAGGGAATTGTGTTAATTGTATATCGTGTACAGCAGCTGCTCCAGAACAGAACTTCACCGAATGTGGAATATTTAATAGACATTTATTTCTATTTTTTACCGGATGTACTGTGTTCCATGAACACACTTTAGGACTTTCGACCACTTGAGCCCAAATCGTGGCAGTGTGAGGAATAATTATACTGTTCTCCTAAAAAAGAATAGGTAATAGAAAAATGGAATAAGTTCAAAGATACAAAATATCTACTTCGAGAAGGTATTCGTGAGCATGACGAAACGTTGAAATCGCTCCCTCTCCAATAAGTTCAGTATCAAACACTTCGGTGACTAAAATATTTGCTCTTTTGGCCATATCACAATCTTTACCAACAGTCATTTTCGTAGAACGTTCGTGTACCAATTTGATTTTATCTTCAAACCCGTTCTCTTGGATGATCTTAATCGCACATTTAGCCATCGGCGTGAAAGCCTAAAGAATATCCTTAAAGTTTCAAGCTCGTAAAGATGTAGCATTTTAATTTCCAGAATTAGTAATTAGTAATATGATTGTTCACCTCGCAAGCTACTATGCTATCTGCCCCACATTTAGCAGCCATCATCGACAGTAAACCTGTACCCGTGCCAATATCGAGTACATTAGCTTCTTCTCCGTCCTGATGTTTTTTTTCAATCGCAGTCTTGAGCGCAACATAATATTTCTGATTCTAAAATTGTAAATTGTACAGATGCGGAATTACTTAAAAATAGTAGAGTACAGTAGACGAACCCTTTCATGATCATGCAACATATCAGCGAACGCTGATCTGGCAACTTCTTGATGATAATCATAATTTTCATCTTTCTCTTCCCAAGTCATGGTCCCACTTAAGGGATTTAAACACTGAGTAAAAATACTCATATTTCGCGTATGTAAAAACCGAATGAAACCAACTTTCAGCATATACCTATTCTTTTCGAAATTCGTTGAACCACCGGAGCGCAGAATTTATTAACGAACACAGTTAAAACATTGTAAATAGATCGAGACCGAGGTTACAAGTTTTCTTTAAATTGAATAAAATCCTGCTAGAATTGATAGTACGAAATGTTGGCATACTGATACTAAATAAAACAATATCAGCGGATGCACGGAGTAATGTTTGTTTCTTCCGATATTATTATGACAAACGTAAACTAAGTACAGCACGTGCAAATGGTCACACTCTAAACTTAAAACCGCTAATTCTAAGCGAAATGATTCGAAACTAATTGATTTTAAATCACGTTTACTCAGCAACCGTGCAGAGTTTTTAATCAACAAAATCTCTTAACTGACAGGTCAATCCATTTCATTTAATAAATAATACACTTGTCTATACAGATGTACTATGTACGAAACGCACACGTGTAAACGAAGGTGTTCGTTCCAGTCTCAAATAATTAATTATGTTTAAGTGATATAAAAATAATGTTAAAGTGGTCAAGATATCAACACAGTATTCGATATACGAGCTTTGTACGGTGATTAGAAATAGCAGTGCATAGTTGGAAAATTTAGTATTACTGGTAGTATGACGTGGAGTTAGAGTAGGTTAAGTACAACGTGAAGATTCTCAATCGAATCATACTGAAATATTAATAAAAAAGTAATTTAGGAATTCGTACGAATTAATCGTGAACTGTGAACGATGTTCGAAGTGACAGATACGCAAAGTAAGTACATAAACTTCGAAGTAAATAACTTGTAATTTACGAAAGCAACTTTATAATAACTTCTCAGTCTTGTTACTAGAGAAGTGTAAATTTTAAAATAGCATATAACAGTTAAAAATCGGTTTTTAGAGATCGGAGTGGGTCTCGTCGGGTTTGGAATTTCATTCCTCTTCCTTGGCATCTTATTAATCTTTGATAAAGGTCTTCTGGCTATTGGAAACGTAAGAGCTCTCGTCGCATGTGATGTGTAGATAATTCAATCGCTGTGTCATGCTGAATGATTGTTTTCTGTCACAGATTTTGTTCTTAAGTGGATTAGGATGCGTGATCGGGCCAAAGAAAACTTTAAGCTTCTTCTTCCAAAGGCATAAAATAAAAGCCAGTGTTTCCTTCTTAGGAGGCATTATCGTGGTACTCATGGGTTGGCCTATTGTAGGCATGATCGTAGAAACCTATGGTTTTATATTATTATTCAGGTACGTCGATCGTTCACTTTAAGCCTGTTTATTTCTTCTATCGTCGAATAGCATATTAATACCATGTTGTTCATTTTACAGTGGTTTTCTACCAGTTGCAATTAATGTATTGCGTAAGGTACCTGGTTTAAGGCTCGTATCAAACTTGCCGGGGATCTCCAGAGTCCTAAATTCAATTGCAGGAGATCCTAATAGGACGACTGTATGATGGTTTTTTGACGTGATCGCTCAAAACAATGTACATACATAAGATCTACTATTTTATATTATGCCCCCAGTTTCCCTGTCATTCCTGTGTGGAATTTCACAGATCTCTTTTTATACAATGTATACAATCGACAAAGTTCAACTACCCCTCATTCATTCAAAATTTCATATGAAACAAGACAACTGTATTATAGTACTATAAAATGTTTCTATGAGCATTCCAAAATAACTAAACAGGATTCAAAATTTGACGAGTAATATATTGATTTGTTATGTAATATTAAATTAATGATATTAATAGTAGGTTTTCTCCTTCTTGCTTGGGACTATTTGTTGTAACATAATTGTACGATCTGTAACGCATCTGTCACATCATCATTCTTGAAGGAAAATATAATTTATATATATTATATAGGTAATGAAATAAAGTAAATGGAATTATATGCTTTCGGTGTTTCGAAATAAATACCAGTAGAGATTTTATGATCAGTTTTATTGATTTAGTTGTTTTCTTTGCACGCATCCTAACATGAACACATTGGATGCATACACTCACAAGTAACGCTTCTCATTATCTTACACGAAGTTGTCTGGAGTGCGAAAATTAAATTACTGTTCACTGAAATTCGATGATCACCGTTGATATTAGTACGATCATTTTTATTACTTATCTACAATGGGCCGCGGTTACGGGCGGGGGCAGCCCAAGTCTACACGCCCCGCCATCGTCGTAATTATATTTCGACGCGCGTCCTTCTCTCAGTTGTATACGTTTCTTTTCGCAATATGTTTTTTTTTTTATATTTTTTTAGACAGTTATTTTTACTACTTTATGTCCCGACCATCGCATTGTCTACGTAGTCACATGTATTAGACAGTTTTCATAGATTCATCGCGCTGTTAATTCTACCTCGGATATACGCAGAAGTACATCCTTCACTTCGTCACGGAAATGGAACATGAAAATAGCACATGCGAACCGTTGCAAGAAAATACTGAATCCGGCAATAAATAAAGCGAATTCTCTTCTACAGTCAAGATATACATATATACTGCCGAGTTCCATGCATTTCACAAGTTGCTATTGATACGAGCGTTAAGTTTGCGACCGTTCTCAAAATTTCTCGACAGCTCAACGTCAGTCTGGGAATCACTCAGTCTGATAACTGCTGTTACGTCGGATGGCGTGGAATAAAGATGGTACTTTGCAATTGTAGTTTGTGAAGGTAATGAGGTGAAGATCGTTATAGTGTCTTAAAGGAGATTCTTAATTTCGTCGTAAAGTACCAGTACGAGCGCACCACCTGTACCACGAAGAACGTTGGAGAATGCTCCTTTGAAGAAAGCGTTGCCACCCTCAGACTTGTAGATGGTGGCCCAACAGTGGAGGGTGCTCTTGTACAAAATGTCGGCTTTAGCGCGTCCGGACTGCATCATCATACGCCTACGCACAGTGTCGAATGGATACGACACGATACCCGCGACAGTTGTGACAACCTGGAAATCGGATTAGTCGAATTATGAACGAAGGCGAAGGTTTTGTATGATCGCATAACTAAGGTCGAAGGCGGACTCGTTTACCTGTGCAATACCCCATGAGATAAGGAATGGCGTCTTTTTGGGGTCTGGTAGCATACCACGGGCAGTGTCGTAGAAGCCGAAGTAGGAAGCGCGATAGATAATGATGCCCTGGACAGACACTCCGAAACCACGGTACAGGCCGGTCAAGCCGTCAGCTTTGAAGATTTTGCTCAAACAGTTACCAAGACCACTGAACTCACGTTTCTCAGAACCTTTGCCGACGTCGGCTGCCAACCTGTAATAAGGTAATCGTGCGTGATCATTCTATATGAAGTTTTATTATATCAAACGAATGTCGCCTGATGAGAAAAACCGTGATCAGACGTACCTGGTTCTGGCAAAGTCGAGCGGGTAGACAAAACAGAGGGACGTAGCACCAGCAGCACCACCGGAGGCCAAGTTTCCAACGAAGTAACGCATGAACTGCGTGTTTTTGTCAACACCGCCGAGGAAAACTTGCTTGTACTTGTCTTTAAACGCAAAGTTCAAAGCTTGCGTCGGGAAATATCTGATGACATTGGCGAAGTTTCCACGCCAGTAGCTGAGGAATCCCTGTTCTTTCGGAATGCGGACAAAGCAATCGATCATACCTAAAATGTAAAAATACGTATCCGTGTAGTCATTTTCCTGCATCAGGCGACATTCTGGTTCGTTCGAACGGCAACCGAATATTTCGAATACACTCCTCTGTTATGAGGTATCGAAATTTTTGCTAAAAAAAGATTTGATCTGCTATATTGAACTCGTGGTGCATTTTAAACTTTCATAAACTTTATTTCACAATATATATATATTGCACTGAAAATTGTTATGTAACAAGCAGCTGATCGATTCGATCGATTTCATGCTTATTTTTCATATTTGATACTCTTAATTAAGGATCATTGCGTACTACAGATATTACGATGCTTTAATCATATTTCGAGTTTTCAGAAATTATCTTTTCATTATCAAGAAATACCTTCAAGGTCATAAAGTCACGTTGTTTTAATATCTGAATGATCATACAGATTATTAGCGGTAGTCAAAAGAGTAATGGGATAGCATCTCCGAACGGGGAATAAGACTAAGGGAAAACCACGATTTGAATTCATTACGCGAAAATAGTATATTTTAAATCGCGAATTTGATGAGAAATAATTTGATCGACAATTCCGTAATTTTGTAACTGAAACATCAATATTATTCATATTTGTATTTTACATCGGATGGAATATGACGGGCTGGCAATTTTTCTGAGCATTATTCTATTTGCCCATTATTGCAATTTAGGTACTCATGCTACCACTTTGCAGTATAAAAGCGGCCATGTTGGTCCGCACAGTCATCGATCCGTTCGAAGAGCAGAGTCTCGCACTGCCACCTGGTAGACGAGTCGCTTTGTCGAATATCGACCCATTGGTTTGGCACAGAAAGCAAGACTTCCCATTCAATCGACATTGCAAAGTTATATAATACCCAAAACTTAATTCCAGTTACATAAAGTAGAAAATTACATGTGGACAGTGGACACTGACGTAGATACTAGGAGCGCATGAGGGCAGCATTACATAACAGGAATGCGAATCTTAACCGTTGCGAATTAACTTAACGGAAACGCTTGGCAGTTTCGGGAAGCCGACACGAGCAAAATGCCCGACTGTCACATGTTTCGAACATCATCATTCAACCATTGACGCACAGTAGACACCGACAGGGAGTTCTCCAATGCTTTTCGTACCATTGCCAATGCTCTACAGATTCTGAGATAGATAAGATCGTGCGAAACTTACCCTTGTAACGTTGGTCCTCGGAGATTTGCTTGGAGATGTGCTGTACCTGCAGCAACAGCTTCACACGTTCGATGGGGGCGACCGCCGTTTTCGAGATAGCCGCGGCCACACCACCGGCTATGAAATCCTTGGCGAACGCCACGGGATCCGCGAGACCAGACATATTGTACCGGTGAGTATATACGAAAACGGGTTAACAAAATAAAGAGGAGAAACCAACTCCTATGATTCGGACGCGCGCCGGACGACGAGTGAGCGAGGCAGAGTTCCTTTCGTTGAACGGACCTCTGCTAAGAATAACTGCGCAGGTCACGTGCAAACCTATGCGCAGGTTCAATCTTCTGGCACGGCCGCACCTTGGGACCGTGACACTCCGTGCACTCCGTACACGTGTACCGTTTCCGAATTCATGACCTTTCATTAGTATCTTGCGACATTACATCTTCCTGTTTCGTTTTCACGGTCGCCAAGCGGACACCCGCTTCACAAAATCCATACACGATCACCCCTTTCGAAATCTCCATGTTCGACCGCGGTTGTGACGCGTTTCCGGTGAAATGACGTCGACAAATTGACGCTAGCGTCAAGATATTCGAAACATGAAACTACTTGGCGGGAATTCTCGGTAGAAGATGCATTGACATTTTAATTGTTGGAGTATCGTATCGCTAGCACAGATACTGGAACGAATTAAGAGAAACAGAGGAACAGTATATTCCCTACGTGCATCTAGACGTTCATCTTTTGCAGATTTCATGGGAGTACGTATTTAATAAGGTAAATACTCTTTGACAATACTCTCTCTTGTTCGAAACAAGCTTTATTAACTGCAATGAGGGAAAGGGGAAGCACTATACCAAGGCCCTGTCCGTTTTGTAATGCAGACGTGCATACGTACTCTGCTCTATCAATCGATCGCTCGCTGCCCCTTATCATCGACCATGTGATAATCGTTTTCCTCATTCTTCGTGTCTTCCGGTAGAAATAAGTAAAATAGCTGTTAGCAATTGTACATAACTATAAGTACGTACACGTGTCACGATTGTCTTTGGGGTGGTTTCGAGTTTGCGCTGTTTAAGGCTCAAGAACGAGACGCAAGGTCAATCTCTCGAAAAGAAGGAGGTCAACGGGGCGCGACTTGCGTAACCCTGGCGCATGGCCAGTATGTTACGGAGGACCACGCTAGAGTTCAATGAAGTAACTTTAAAGTAACGTGTATTTATACACGTTCAAGATGCGTACAAACCTTGTAAAGAATAGACTAATGCTAAAACTGTCTCCCCGCTTCACAACGTGGAGATCTCGCCGCGCGTGCAAGCATCCGACGCGCATTAGCTAAGCGTGAATCTGTCAAGTCAGTCGATATAAGTCATAATAATCATAATCATACGAGATATTTTACTGCGCTACTTCATTTTGTTTCGTCTCGGTTGAACAGCAAACTGGGGTGATGGTTACATACACTGATAATACTGATAATAATTAACAAGTGGGAGACATTGCAATAGGGTTTCTGTGCAAAAGCCGTCTGCTCTGTATTACCGTGTATTTTTACACTCAAATATTTATTTAAAGCTGCACGCGTTATCATCAGAATTCATTCCTGGTAAATGCAATAGGAAATTGAAAATGTGTAACAGGATGATTGTGTTTTCGTATCACGTTCACACAAGCGAATCTACTTACTCAGCGTGTAGCACGCGTTATCAACAGTAATATGATAATTATGTATGATGCCTTTCTAAGTATAGATTAGGAATATTTGATGCCCGTGCATCGGTGTAAGAGATTTCAGAGCGTACTTGCTAGGCTGCAAACGGCGTTACATAATCTGGGCCAAAACGTTGTAGGAGAAATAATATGATGATAAATATAGAAATATATAGAATAAATGTGAGATATTTATCGTGTGTGTAATTCGCGACTAAAAACTGAGATTTTCCTGTATTTACCAAGAAAATCATTAGCATTAGCAGCGCACGTCATCGGATTTTAATACGTAAGAATGTGATGTGTAGTTAAAGCACATATAGTAATATCAAACTTGCGACGTGTAACTGAAGTCTATAGATTGGATTAAATAACGACCTTGATGACGTAGGCGGTTGTCTGCGCTAGTGCATTAACTGAAGTCATAATGGTCAATGCACTTCAAAGCAGTTATAAGCGGTTTCGAACTTACACGGCCCTATGGGATCGATTAATTATCAATCAAAATGCAGGGCCATAACGATGAAAATCTTTCAGGTTCCCAAGGAGCTATTGTTAATTACATAAAAATAAATGCGATCGATCACATTTATTTTTACATAATCCCGTTATTGCTCAATATGTCAGTGATATAAAAGAAAATTTCAATATCGCGATCGCTAATTAGAATTAATTACCGGAGATTATTAAAATAAAGCGAATTCGAAGTCGTTGATCGTTGATATTCCGTAATGGCAGAGATATGGAGAACTTTTATTTCTTTGGCTTGGATGAACTTTGTTCTCATAAATGATGATGATGAACATATAATTAATAGCATTTGCTTCATTGTCAGATGTAATGTATTGAATTCGGATCGCTAGAAGCTGCTAGAAGCTGAAAGTTTGAGCCGATTTTAATGAATCGCGACACTGAACTTAAAATTAAAGGTTACAACACTGTCAGGGTCGTTCTCCGTGATTGTAGGAAGTTCTTTTTATGGTTTCTGCGGCATAGAAGAATATCTGCAGCTGGTACGGAAGGATGAATTTAATGTCAGTCGCAAATATTTTAAGCGAAGCATTTTGTAAACTTCGAAATATATTGATAAAGTTTATCGTTACTGTTCGATAATTTTATTATCGTCCAACATACGTCCTTATCTTGATTAGGATACTTATATTATACGATCGCTAATTGTATACTTAAAAATGTTAATGAATGAGAATGGATAAATATTCGTATGATCGTGGATAATTAGAAATTGTTTAATGAATAATTAGATGTAACACCCTCTAGTGGAGTAACGAAAAATACTGTAAATGAATGGACGTATAGAAACTGCGAAGAATACATAGAAGCCGGACATTTATGAAACGTCAGACTTAGAATTAAATCACAATCTTGCAGTATTTTACGGTAAATAACTCGTTTTTTATTTAAAATATATTATTAAGTAGTAATTGTTTAGCGATGAGGGACGTCACGATGAAATTCCCTTATTGTTTTGTCGTTTTGTGATGATGTCACTGGTCGTCCCAGGTTATAGCTTCTAATCTATTTTTTGTTAGACTTTAATTAAATAGTTACTCGGTTTATCTGTCGAGCAAATTTATTTAGCTCGAGTAAAAAAGTTGATTATCCAATAATTATAATCATGGCAATGAATGAATCTTAAAATATAATTGTTAT